CTTACAGGACGGCTCTGATCTCTGCCGCTTCCACGCCCTTCTGACAAACACAGGGGGCAGCTCAGACTCTGGAATCAGGGTGCTGCTGTACATCAGGCACAGGACAGAGTCAGTGTAGACATCATCATGATTCTCAGGTACAAAAGGGGGAGTCCAAAGCTTAAAGACAAACCAAAAAACCCACCCCAATGTCAGCAGCGATAAAAAACTCCCCAATCAACAAAAAAACACCAACCCACAACCCACGGTCTGCCACGAAATAAAGGATTTTAGATAAGGTTTCCTTCATATGAAATAAGAGCTGCTGACTTACAGGCATTATTTCTGTTTCTCCATCTGGTCCTTCACTGACAAATTCCTGTATGAGAAACAGAATTTTTGATAGCTCAACACATCACCCAGCCCAGAGCCCAGCATTTACAAACATACCCTTTTTCACAAAAACTACCATTTAAAAATTACAGTAGAAAAAAGAAATCTTTTAAGGAATTACTCTCAATTTCAAGTTCATTTATCAATTGCCTTGATACATAACTATGAACTTCCAGTTGACATCAACCTACCAACCCACAGTTCTGCCAAACAGCAACCTGCTCTTTACAGAATTAAAACTGCTCACAGAGTGACACTTTCCTTTCAAGAGCACAATAACTGTGCAAGGACTCAAGCCCAGTGCAATGCAAACCCAACAGACATATCTGAAGACGTGGTTCCTGGTGATAATAAGTAAACTTTGAAAAGCAGAGGCTGCAGATTGATGGTACCGTGTTATAAGCGTCCTGTCTGGTATAGGTTAAGAGCTCCTCTCTCACTTCCTGCTGAAGTTTTTGTTCTGCCTTTTCCAGCTCCTTGGCATGCTGATACTCCCATTTTATATTTGCAGTTTTCAACTCCTTTTAGGAAGAAAGTACATTTTAAAATATTGCTATTTTCACACTAAATACACTAACAGCAGTAAACTGCCACTGATTTGAGTCTCACCTTTCATAGCCTCACAGTCATAGCAAAGTTAGTTAAAATGAGATTTTATTCTTGGTTAAGGCCCTCATAGCAGTAAAGAGAAAGGGAAATATGTCTCTTTTAATTAGGAACCAATGTGTTTTCAGACCACAGTCACTTTGAGCAAAATTTCAGTGCTCATAACAAAACAAAACAAAAAATAACCTGACAACAGTTAGAGTTTTCTATTTTGTTGTTATTAGTTACCCAGAAAATTAAATATAGTTGCTTACCTTGTTGGCTTTCTGGCTCTTTTGATCATCCAAAGTGTGACACAATTCCAAGAAATTAAATGCATACTTTTCAATTGGCTTAAGCTGTTGAGAAAAAACATTTTGACACATTGCTAGTTCTTTAGCCCTTTAATTAGAAACATGTAAATAACAACAAGCAGAAAAACAGCCCAACCAATAAATATATTTATTTTGGTTGCAAATAACGGCACCACAATTTAAGGCAGAAAAGATATATAAGGACAAAAAAAACATGACTAGAACATGACTAGTTCTGACTCCTCTGCTCCCATCCCAGTGGTACCACTGAAAATAGGCTCCAACTATTGGCTTCCATTTTCCTAACTGGGAATAAAAAGATAAAATCCCACCCAAGTCGTTACAAACGCTCTTGAGTGGTCATTAGTAAGCAGGTTGCTATTTGGTTCCTGCACAAGTAGCCAAAGGGAAAAAGAGACAATCCAAATCTGGCAGAACTTGAGGAATGCTGTGAATAGTCATTTAATGGTTAAGAAGAAACAGATCCTAGTCCTTGTGAGAAAAATCAGGAGTATCTGCAAAGCACAGGGCTGTAAACTGGTTTTATATAATTTTATATATCCTGCAGTGCATTTAGTCCAATGCACTTTACAAATCCTCAGGAGAACATTTGGTGACTTAAGTGTTTTGGTACGTGAACAGATCTATCAACAAGCTCAGATTAACCCCCAGGAGTGTTTCAATATTTAAGTTTGCACAGAAACTCTCCAATGTAAATGGACTGGAGAGAAGGTACTTTAGGAAAGCCACTTGACTGTTGCACAGGAAATTCCAAATCTTTCTAAATGTTTACACCAAACAAGAGAAATCACCATACCTGACCCAGCAAGCTAGCCAGCTGTTCTTCCAGCTGAGAAGGAACCACGGTGTTTTTTGTATCATCCAGCTCTGAATCTGTGTCATTTCTTAGCTCAGATAGTGTCTCTTCTGTAAACTTTCTAGAATCCTCTTTTCCACCTTCGGAGCAAAGAACCTTATGGAAACACGTTTGCAAGTATTCAGTAAGACAGTGCATGGTGGCAAAATTTTTTTCAACATCCTAAAATTGAACTTAGAAAAGTCAATATATTTGACAGCTTTTGCTGCAGGAGATGTTGTCTTGGATTGATTAAAACAATGCCAATAATAGAGTAAAATTTTCATTGGAACAAGTTTTATTTCTAGGTACTGTTACCTCCTGATTTTCTATATGAGATAAAAATTCAGGATCTCTACTGACTTGAACTGTGAACACATATCACTGGCCCACAGACAAGTATAGAAATAGATACAGAACTACCCATTCCAAATTCTGATTCTGATCTACTAAAACACTTATTTTTTATGTATCATTAAGCTCCCATTCTTAATGTTACAGTACCTGAGAGAAAAGGTCTGTTGAACAATCATCTCCCTGAGCAGCCAGTTCTTGAATCAAATGTTTCACACCTTGTTTCAACAGCCTCTCTTCGACAGAATTACCACTTACAAGCCTGTAAACCAAAACAAAATGCTGCTGCCTAGAAAACAGTGATCGTATACATCTGGATTTCACAAAAAATACAAGAGCAGGGAACTGGCTGAGAGTGTCTGCACTGCACACCCACCTGGCCTGGGGTGTAAGGTGAGCAAGAGCTCCCCTGTGCTCTCAGCACAGCCCTCCAAGGCGAGAAACTCACTCGAGAGAAGCTTTCAGATACATCACCCATCATCACAAACAGCAGCATCTCATCACCAGTGGATGTGAAATCCAGTGAGAGATCAACTAAGGCATTTCTTGTTTATCGAGAGCTGAAAACACCCACATTTGTTTTGACTGTCCCAACACAGAAGTCCAGATGGTTTGTAAGATGAAAGTGGGAGGGAAAGACAGGA